CGTACGTACGTACGTACGTACGTACGTACGTACGTACGTACGTACGTACGTACGTACGTACGTACGTACTACGTACTACTACTACTACTACTACTACGTACTACTACTACTACTACTACTACTACTACTACTCTCTCTCTCTCTCTCTCTCTCTCTCTCTCTCTCTCTCTCTCTCTCTCTCTCTCTCTCTCTCTCTCTCTCTCTCTCTCTGTAGTCCAATGGTTAGATTCAAACTTAAGGACTTAGTGTTGATGAACAAATTGACAGAGACATACAATTCAAAACCACACATATGCATGCAAACATGTCCACTAAGACAGTAGAATAACATAGACAATAGAATGCCTGACAATGTTAGAAGAGGCCCCCAGTCAGTCTAGGGAGTCGGAGAGAGAGGGAGCAATGTAAATGTCTGAGAATCTAGGCGGCTTATAATCAGAGTGCAAAAAGATAGTGGGATGGAGATTAAATCCAGTGCAGATGAGAGGAAATTGACTGCTCTCTCGTGGTATGCAAATAAGCCCGCACAAAAGTCCAAATAGATATTCCCTCTCTTCATTCTCAGTCTTACCCCCCACCCCCCCCAAGAAAAATAAAGAAAACAAAGCCCAATAGAACGGAAAGGAAAGTAAGAGCAGAGAGAGAGAGAGCAATGGCTAAGAAGGTAGAAAGCGGTTTATAATCAGAAGATAGAACGGAGAGGAAAGTAAGAGCATCAGACAATGTTATCGTCTGTTAGGGATACGGGGACTTTCTTTACAAACCTGGGAATGTCCGCAAGAATACTTAGCCAGGGTGACCGTGCTTCTCTGGTTTGTACTTAAGGTCAATTCTAAATAAGAGGTTCCAGTTCCCTATAGATTCCAAGTAGAGGGAGAAATGCATGATAGGATGCGATTTAGAGAGAGAAATGCTGTTGCAGGCTAACCTTTCCTTAATCCAGGGCTTGCATCCTCTCCTCTAAACATGAGGGGAACTTCTACCTTAAGTATAGCTGATGAAGGGGCTCTCAAAAAAGTAACGTTCATAGGAGCGTCAGTTCCTGAATGCAGATGTAGCTGTCACACTCAAATGAGAAACCAAATTAGTGAATGACCCAATACTTTACGAAGAGAGAGTTGACAAGTAATAGCAAACACAATTTCCCAAGAAGTCCAAAACACTAAAAAGTGTGATATAAAGACTGGGACATTTTATGCATCCAAATCAAATCAGCAATTGTGAAGAAACACTTAAAAAATATAAATTATTAAATTGAAACTTGTGTCTTAGTTATATCTCCCAAGGGCACTTTTTCACTTGTGTTGTTGGGCAGGTCCTATTTATCAATCATATCTGTTCTGAACAGGAATTCAGTCGTTTTTTGCTCCATTCAGTTTCGTAAGTCCTTGATATACCCCAAGTGAAATCCACTTTTCAATCTAAAATATGTCATGATGCTAGAGCAGGCAAGGACCTAGGGGGCCTTGACTCATGCATCAAATCCTGCAGCAGCTGAGAGCTTACAAATATTCCAAAACCCAAATTAGCTGATACTACATTTTTTAACCTTCTTAAACCCTAAATTTAGCCGAGAGGATGTCATTACATGTGACACAATTTTTTTAATACTTGGATTAATACTCAAAAGTATTTAACCAAAGAAATATAATATTCAAAAGTAAATATCAAGTTACAACAAAGGGTAAACAATTCAAGACATGTTCAAAGAAGAAAAAGAAAAGAGATACATAAAGATCAAGGAACGACTCTGAGGACAAAGGCTTCAAGTCATTAATATTCAAAAGGCGTCTCTTTTGATTAGTGCTTGTGTTAGGTTTTCAAGTTCCTGTTCCTGTAGAAATTGTTCCAAGATATTTTGGAAAGGCATCGCAACTAATAACTTTTTCTGCCATTATTGCAAGTTTGCAACCTTTTTATTTTTGTCACTATCTTTTCCCAATGTTTTTCGTGTGCTAAGTATTATTTTCAACCAGGCCAGCCTAGGATCTTTAGATTAAGTCCATATCATAATTCCCTTCCTACAACTGACTCTTCCAGTTGTCATGTGCAAACTAAAGTGATCACTTGGTTGTCAAATGGCTTAATGGTTAACCAACTGCACTTTCTCCAGAGCCACGTACTGCCATCTAGATCATTACAATTTGCTGCTATTTTCCAACGAATCACTCAACACCTCTCAAATTAAAAGCGCTACTTTGGTATTTTGTATGAGTTCGTTTTTTCTCTTTCTTGATAAATGTCCTTTCTATAGTTCTTGATGTAATATGCTCATCAACATGGCCCAATCTCGTACAACATCATCATGAAGCTATGGGCAAGGGGAAATGCATATAGCATAAAAAATCCTAGGACTGAATGCCACAATGACTTAAGACCACAATGCAGTTGCTTGTAAAGTCACCCAAAGTGTTGAAAATCAAATAAAACGGGTAAAATCTTGTACAACAACATCACTGTTGAAATGGTAAATTTTCTATTTTTTGATAGTTATTCCACAAAAACAATTCCAAGTTGAGAATACTTGACAAATTGCACACTTTGCTTAGGGAATCCCAAATATACTTGTCATATTTCCTAACCAGCCTTGAGGTTCAAAATAGAATAATTCAACATGGCGGGGGACAAAATAATGGTGTATACACTAGTCATACGACCGCTTGATAGATATAAGACATAGCATGCTCAGTAGGCACATATTTCAAGGAGAATCTTGACAGCCTACTCTGCAACTCACAAATTGAAGGGAAGGGTGTAATGTCAAAGGGTAAAAATGTGATTTTTTATGAAGATTCTGTTTTAAAAGTTGGCAAACAAAGATACCAGGTGATCCTACTCAATCAATAACTCACAGGAAAGAATTCTAAGTTACCTTGGCTACTTTTGTATGACAGCTACAGAAATAATGTAAGAGGCACTGTCAGGGGAAAACCCAACTAAATTGGTGCACAAAGATAAGTTGTGTGATAAACTGGTTTATTTTAATTATTACAGTTCTTAAAAGGGATGATTGGAGTCATTTTCATATGATTAATAACTATCTAGAGTCTGGCATGCGGAGGACACATAGCAAGAAATCTCAGAATTATATGAACACTGATAGAATGCTTCCTTCGGAACAAATAAACATCAGGAAATTCATTTTATAGTCAAAACCCAATGTTAAAACTAAATGAATAAGGCACCCCTATGTCAGTTTCCAAGCCTATGCATCAAAACAATGTTACAAATGGTGTTTGCCTTAGGAGAATAGGCTTGGTGATTGCCTAATCTCACAAGTGATTGCCTTAAATAAAATATACAAAATACCATAATATCATAAAAAAAAATTCAATTAGTGTCCCCTTATTATCGTTTACCATCAAAAGTGATATTTCTGCTAACAGAATTGGCATTATGTTCTTGCAAAAATGATCAGTAGATTGATCTTTGTTCTTGCTTCTTAGGGATGAAATTCCACCAGAACAACACCTAGGCTCATCCACTTATGAGAAGGCAGTGTTAGCAAATTATTCACAAGGTCTACAAAAAGTACAAATGGACACTGAACTTAATTCTTCATAAGACTATGACACCTATCAATAATTATGGTCTCAAACCATCGCATTTTACCCAGAAGAGAACAATGAGATTCCTCTAATTTGTTAAGGGGGAAAAAACATTGGGATGAAATCTGCTGGCTGTCCTTCCTCCTCCGAGAACCCTACGAGCTAAAGCTCTTTAGTACTCCAGAGGTGGATGCCAGGAATTCCTCTTACTTGGCGCCATGAGTTTGGCACCGAATTATTTGTCACCGTGGTGCAGGCCAGGCCAGCCATCCACCCCTTCAAGCTTTTCTCCTGGGGAACTGGCTGTCGCCAGCTCACAGGCCCCTCTAGGTCATCCAAGAGCTTCACTCATGGGGGACATGGTCAATATTAAAAATTTAGGAGCAATTAAGTCTTCATGAAAAACAAGGGACCAACAAACACCTATAACATCGCATTAAGCCCAACACTTATGAGTCCATGAAGCATATAAAGCATTAAAGAATATCTCGGGTTCACCATTGGATGGAATGCAAAGGTCCACACCAGCAATCATTAAGCAAACTAAAGCAATCACCATGCGTTTCAATCCATGTATCCAGACCATAGTTACCAGGATATTCTAAGGAGAGGGTCACTTTCACTCCGGAAGCTCGATCCCACGCTCCGAGATAGATGATCTCGATTCCGGACGATTCCTTGATATTTGGGATCTCGATTCGGGAAATTGGGGAACTCAATCCCATCGAATGGGATCTAGATCCCTTTGCCAAAGATCATGGTTCCATGAGTACGCGGAACCGCGATTCCACCTACTTGGAATCGAATGCCCTCTAATTTAGGAGCAGTTTCACCGACAAATTTTTTTGATTCATATACAATTGAGTGTGGACCTCCAAACTTTTATGACCTAGAAACTTTTTTAACTCCATGATTTCCAACATATTTTACAATTCACAACTTTACACAACTTGTGAATCGTGATTTATGTAAAGCGTTAAAGAAAGGCAACAAAAGAGAGGGCAAGGAGGGAAGGAAGAAGATGGAAGGATATACAAAAACAGTCGCATTATGGTTCAATTGAAGAATGTCAATATGCTCAACTTCCTTGGAGCTGGTTCATTGCTAATTCACTAGGTCTTGTCTACCTCCTGAAGGACTTCTATCACTTGAGTGTTTGTCAACCAAATCGAGCCACTTATGAGATTGCTTTATGAATGACGGAATAACACGTATGCGTGTAAATGTGAGGTCTCTCTCATGTATATTTTTGAACCCTTAATAATATTTGACAGAGGAGAGCTATTGGGAATTAATATGGCAATATCTTCCCTCTTTCTTACTTAGGTATCACATCACCATATTGGATTTCTATTATTGCTATGTGTAAGATCATACTCTAATGACAACAAAATGTTATAGAAAATTTCAAGGACATGAATTTTGTTAAATTGATATTAGGTTTGTGAATTTGAAAAACGTTAACAATATTGTTCAATGGAATTCGCTCCCAGTTACAATATAGTTGATAAGTGAACTTCGGGAACCTCGATCCGTATCATGGAGGAAAGTGATCCCATTTAGTAAAGAGTTGGCTTCTATGAAAATATCGAACGTGCTCCCTAAAAGTCAATCTTGATCCCTTTTCCTGACCATGCACGGACCTCATTCCCCCAACCACGGATCTTCAAGCCTACCTCGCTCCATGCTCCCGATCCCGATCCCGGAGCTCTTGTCGATCTTGTTCCTGAGACTATGACCCAGACCCTTCATTCTTGCTGACGTATTGCATGTTGTCACTTGGACACCATGTATACACTTGCAGATAGTGATATCTAAAAAAATGTATGGCACACATCTAAGAACTCTTGTTCCAGGGTCATGTTGTTTTCGGATGCACCAACCACATATAAGTGTAATAAATATGAACTACTTATTAGGTATACGTTAAAAGTCTTTCGTGAAATTATTTTGTGCAAACATATCTAGTATTGGCTTTCCTCGATGAAGTACTAGACACTTAGACAAGCATTGGATTTAAACACCTAACATAGGTTTCCCCGCATATTCCCCATTAATTGTCACTAATCAACCTAAGCAATGACAATGATGCTTTCTAGTAATTGAGTGGTGGTAGAGCATCACACATCCACCATAAGACACCATTTGAGGCACTTTGTGGTTAAAAAAATAAAAAGGCTAGTTCAGCTAGGACAGCTGGTTCAGTTTTTCTGGGACAAACTTCACAAGTTGGAACCCTTGACATCCCTCACCCAAACTGATGTTCTACCACTAAGGTGAACATTAAAGGACAGCAGAAGATTAAAGGACAAAAGGATAGGCTAGCTTGTTTGAACTTCTCGGACAAACTTCAAGGGTTTGAAGTTTGAACCATATGAAGGTTGAACCATTGACCTCCCTCAACCAAAACGATATGTCTGCCACTAAGCTCAGATGCATTATGATTAATAGCCCCCTTTTTCACTTCTTATTTTCCACAAACTTGAAATGTTGACAACTATAAGCATGAAATCACAAATCCAAGATCATCCATTAACAAGTTTTGATGGAGAACCTCAACTTTTCTATAACATTTAATTTAAATTTAAACAAAATTCATGCATTCCAAAATTCAAGTTTTCTTTTTTTTTTTCTTCTGAAAAGTGGAATCATTCTGAGATGAAGTCATAACTAACCCTTAGTTCAATACCATGGAACTAAAAGATGCAACACGGCCAATGCCCAAAAACGTTTTCAATAGCATTTATGCAATTCTAGACTTAAATAAGATCTTCCTCTAAAATGGATGGAATATTGCCATCAAATTAGAAGGAATAATGAATAAATAAAGAATCGAGAGCGTATAAGTCATTAGAATGACAAACAAATCAATATGTGTTTGGACAAGTCATATTTATTAGTAACCAAGATCCAAATCATCTTGTACAAATGACACATTTGTTACAAGAAGACCACGCATACATATGAAATGATTCTTTTCTTTTTTTTTTGATAATTCATAATAAAAAGGATTTTCGATAATTAATATGAACTTTTTTTATAATTCATATGAACAGGGTAGAAGGAGAGAGATGGAATATAGCTTTAAAGAAGTTGTCTCCTGAATTTCCTAATGTTTGGGGAGATGAAAAAATTATCTAAAGAGTTGTTATTTGCTCTTAATTGCTCAGGCAAGTAGACTCGGACTTGCCCAAGTCACTAAGGCTCAGCACTCAGCCAAACCCAGAACCATATACACTGAATACGAACGGTTACCATTATTTTATTATTTTTTGGTGAGACTCAGCAAGTCTTTCAGACATGACTCGAGCCCGGGACCCTTCCTAGTTCCAACTCGAGTCCCTGTTCTCCTACACTCATCTAAAATATGACCAACTTAGATGGATACATAGATTGGCAGATATAAACTAAACAATGCAATCCATTTTAGAGACAAGTAAGAGAGAATACATACTATCTGATTTTCGTTTGAAGAAAACACAAACTATTTAATTAATTTTAATAACTAATCGGCTATTTTCTAGATTTCTCCTCCATCTTCCCCAAGCGTACATGTAACATGTTAGAAACGTTGCACTGCAATTTCTCATGGGCGGGCACAACTAAGAAGAAAGGAGTTCACATTTTAAAGTGGAAAACGGTTTGCCTCCCCTTTAAAGAACCCCACCTTGGGATTCGGAATGATTTTAATATTGCAGGTATGATGAAATTGGCATGGAGGATTCTTGAAAATCCTTCATTTTTATTGGCACTTTTTTAAGCACAGATACTTCAAAAATTCATCTATATGGGGGGTTGAGAAGAAGAGTTATATGCTTGGAAGGGTATTCAGATGGGATTGTCTCATTTGAGGAATAATGTTGGATGGATCATTGGAGATGGTCGGACAATGGATTTCTAGGCAATCTATTAGGGAATCTCATAGTGCTAATGTTCATAATGATCTTGGAGTCTTTGCCAAACCCAAGATATCATACTATATGGAAGGTTCCCCCCAGATCTGGAAGCTACGTCCCAGACATTTGGTCAATTAATCAGAATATGGAAGGAGGTGGAGGCCTTTACCATTCTGCTGCAGCAGTGTGGATCCATTCTTCCAATGGGATTTTTTTGGTTAAGGAGGCGTGGGATTTTATAAGGGCTTCTAAGCCAATTTTTAGAGCATTATGGTCCTCTAAGTGCCACCCCCGAGCAAAGTGGTTTTCTTGGCTGGCCCTTCATAATAGACTTCCCACTACCTCCCATTTCAGCAGTGTGGGATCACCTTGGCATTTGTACCCTTTTTGTAGAAATGATGATGACAACACTTCTCATCTATTGCTTCACTGTGTTTTCTCACAGGGTATCTAGAGATTGGCTGCATGGAGGTATGGTAAACGATTCTTTCCGGCCACATCCATTGCAACCATTCTTAGAAGTTGGATTGCTTTCAAGCTCAAATCAGATGGTCTTCTCAAAATATCTTGATGTTCCTTTTTTCACTACAATATGGTTTTTATGGGAGGAGCGCAATTGCAGAATTTTTCAGATGAAGGTATCAAGTAGAGAACAATGGCTAACAAGGATCACCTCTCATAGTTGAGGGTTAGCAAATGCCAAAGCCTGGCCTTCCATATATCGGAAAAAGCAATAATTGGCAATTTACAGCTAGCAGCCCGTGGTAGTGTCATCAGAAAGTGGTAGTGTCATCAGAAATGGGGATGGTGCCTGTATTGCTGCTTTTGCCGCATCTTTTGGTATTGCATCCAACAACCATGTGGAATTTTTTGCTCTTAAAGAGGGCATTGACCTGGCCATTAAGTTCGATTGTTCCCATTGCAAATATTGAAAGCGACTCTTCTTTGCTAGTCAATGTTATTCAAGGTCATTGTAGAGCCCCATGGGCGCTTCCACACAATAGCAGTCAATTGCAGACATAGACTTGTAGATCGTACGTGGTACAGCAGACATAGACTTGCAAATCGCACCTGGTCCATTCCCACATATATCAAGAGGCTAACAAGGTGGCTCATACACTTGCCAAGACAGCCTCGGCCTTCTCTAATGCTATAGTTTGGAGTTCTAGACCGCCGGATTTTATTTCTCTCTCTTTACTTCATGATTTGGCACAAATGCCTACAATAAGGTTGTCAAAATTTCAGCTGTATTTCTTTATTTTTATTAATGAAAAATGGGTAAGGGGCCTTCTCCCCCGCTGACTTACCCAAAAAATATTGAATAATTAATCAAAACACGAACTTTCTGATTAGTACTTTCGAATTAAAACACTAGCTTTCTTCGATCAGTTTGTGTTGACACTTGGTCGGAGCTCAATATCAACCACCAAAAGAAGTGCAAAAAATGGAGGGAGGGAGATAGAGAAAGAGAAAGAGTAGTAGTTTTACTTATTCCTTCACTTGAAATATATAGGGAGAGAGAGAGAGTAAGCAGCAAAGGGAATAAAGACTAAATTTTCTAGAGAATTAGACAGAGAGAGAGAGAGAGAGAGAGAGAGAGAGAAGAAGTAGGAAGT